ATAAAAACCTCTAGAATAAACATGGGTGGGTGGGTGGGTGGGTGGGTGGGTAGGGAAAAGGTATCTAAGCGCTAAGCTTGCTCATAGATATAGGAGATCTAGATTGCTAACGCATACCTAGCGCAGGCGGGGCCTACATGATAAATCCAAGATGGCGGTACAACAGGGCAAAAAGACTATAGATTCCATTACGAAAATCAAGATTTTTGCAATTTTTGCCGTCTCATTGTTTCGAAACTTATTCGGTCAAATTTTATGGTAAAGAGAAACTTTACGCGAAGTTTTTGAGCATATATATGATTGAATTGGATGAAAAATCGCAAAATTATCCAGCGATAAAAGTTCGTGTGAAATGGTTGCAGCGTTTTATTTCCAGAAATACTGTGCTATGTTAACATCTAGCCTTGTGAATGGTGTTTTATACTTGCATCTTTCATCATCATCTGCTCTGTCCTCATAATTATGAAAAATGAACTGTTATGTACCCCCCCCCCCTTGCTTGTTAGAGAAGTAAACTGATGAGAGCACTGGATGAGGGTCTATCATCTATGGTCTGTTATAATTTGCTTTTTATGCAAATAGTGAGCAAAAATTAAAGCAAAACTGTACAAGTTACATATATAGTACTATATCAGTACTATACACGAACTTTTATCGATGGATAATTTTGCGAGTTTTCATCCAGTTCAATCATATATATGCTCAAAATCTTCGCGGTAAGTTTCTCTTTACCATAAAATTTGACCGAATAAGTTTCAAAACAATGCAACGGCAAAAAATGCAAAAATCCTGATTTTCGTAATAGAATCTATAGTCTTTTTGCCCTGTTGTACCGCCATCTTGAATTTATCATGTAGGCCCCGCCTGCGGTAGGTATGCGTTAGCAATCTAGATCTCCTATATCAATGAGCTTGCTGCAGCTAGGCAAAGCATACAATGGTAGAAGGGATACCCAGACCGAAGCACTGATCACAAGGCGTGAAACAACCCCCTTTGATCTATATGACGTCACAGACTCCCCTCAGCAGATGTGGCCTGCATAATACATTCGCCGTTAACCTTGCTTAAATGTATTTAACCACATCAAGATCAGGCTGATGTAATAATACATTGTCAATTTATCTCTGCAATCAGTAAAGACTGATTTGCATATACAGCACACAGAAGAGAAGATAAATCCTGACTATTTCACATCAGTGACCATGATTTAGTCGCAATTACAACCAAATGGATACCATGCTTATTAAGCAAATTCCTTCAAATTTAATTGCAACCCCCCCACATTTTCGTGAAAAATTTAATAGCCCCCCTTCTAGTCATTTATTTATACATATGGCCCCCTTATATTTCCCTCCACCTTCCATAAATAATGACCGGTCCCTAACGGCCAGTGGTAAAATATTTCTATTAGATCGTATTAAATTAAATGTATAATAGATTTACACGCGCGATCGAAATTCCCATCTACAAAACCCATCATCACTACCTTAGTCAAATTCAATTGAAGCCGTGAAAAAGCTGGGCATTTTTCATTTTTGCATAATTGGAGTTCATGCTGCAAGGTCAAGGATATTCTTAGTAATTACGAATGGAATTTGCATAACACCAAATATGGAAATAGTGCTGGCCAGTGTTCGGAATGTTCCATGGAACATTTCCGTTTCAAAGGCTGTTTTGAAAATCCGACTGTTCTGTATTGCATCACGATTGCATTCAGTCGGCTCATTGTTTTGACTTATTTCCGGTTGGATTATGTTATTATAATCGCTGGGGCGCCATCGGCGACTTAATTAAAAAGTGCCCCCTAACCCCAAAATATTCTTGGCGATATTAATTCTTGATGATTTCTAGTAGTGAGGCGGATATGTGTAAAATTATTGATCAGTAGTTCCCGTTGAGGTTAAAAGCATCAAACTTTTACAATTGATGTAGTTTTGTTTGCTTAATAGATATTTGAAGTGGGTCCATCGCTATTTTGCTGCTAACTCCTGAAAACGGCTGATTAGTGATTTTCTTCTATTGAATTCTATTATAGCCAAGAAATGTGAAATTTTGTATTCAATTACAACAAATATGACTTGCATCATCAGAAAGCTTATAAAAAACTGCATATAAGACGTTTAGACAGTTTTTTGATTTCTGAACTAGTTATCGAATTATAAACTGTTAAAAACGCATTTTCAAACATTGAATAATTAATTAGGGACTTTTAGCGAGATATGTGCCTAATTTACAGCAATAACCATTTGAAAAATAAAAAAACTGTTTAAAAGTCTTTTATGTAGTTTTTTACAAGCTTTCTGATGATGCAAGTTATATTTGTCGCGATTGAATTCAAAATTTCACATTTTATTTTGTAGTAGAATTTATAGGCGAATAATGCTAATAGCATCGTAACTCTCTAAAAAAAAACAGTTTCACGATGGCCTCACTTTTGCATGTTGTTCTACTCATAAAAACATGCTACTGTGTACAATTTGGTGCTTTTAACCCTCTTCGGAAACATCCATGCACATATCCGCCTCGATCGCTATAGTACATCTGTTAAAAACATAGATATCTTATATACACTAGATAGCGCATTTCTTTTTGTAAAATTGAAGCCAAGAATATTCCAGCGGTTACCCCCATTTCAATAGATGGCGGCCATGTTGGTCGTTCCCACTTGCTAATAAACGCTTAAAAACATCAATAACTTTCATCATTTGAATACTTTAAAAATGTATTTGGAATATGGTTAACCTAATGTTTAAGTCCCCTGTTTAAGAAATAGAAAACATACGAATCTTCTCATTTCATGGGAACGACCTGAGAGTGCAATCACGGCTTCAATTTTTGAAACGCAGAATAATTAGATGCTCTATCTAGTGTATATAAGATATCTATGGTTAAAAACATTTAAATTTAGGCAAATCTTTCGATTTTGTGACATTTTGAATATAGCTTTCGATGGCCTGGCGCAGCAGCGCTGTCGTATTTTGTATCCGTTTTCTGACGTCATGGAAGGTAGTCGGCATTTATCTTTGATCAGCTGGTATAATTCGTTCCGCCATTTATTCTTTGCTGCATGCAAAAATTTGGACTTTAGACAATTAACAGCTCTAAATATTTCAGACGCCATTTGATATCTAACATAAGACAGTTTATAGTAGCATATACATTCAAAATCAAAACACAGGATTTTCTTTGCGCTTTAACGGATCCAGCTCTGTGATTTACAAATCAGGCATTATGGATAAATATATGTGTTTAAACGCAAGAAAAGACTACTGCAGCTTGCATGCCGTCTTAAGCTCCCTAATTGATTTGGGTGCCCCAAAGCTAGAGTTACGCGACTGAGGCACGCGTACAGCTGTCGTAACTTGTAAGGCCTATAATTAGTCGGCGGGGCCACCTGTGGTGCCCACCGACTCTAGATTTGCCCTTCGGTGGGACACAAAATGACAAATTACGTCATTTTAATTACGTAATTCTTACGAAATCAAAATCAAAATGGCGACCATGGAATACGAATACCGTACAAAAGTTCGCTATCGAACTATTTGGTCCAGTCGTTTTTTTTTGGGGGGGGGAGGGGGGGAGGTGTGAAAGAAGTATATTAAAAATTCACTAAAAGTTGTCAGGACGTTTCACTGTTATGTTATCGAAGAGGGAAGTGGATAATTTGTACATAATTTTATATATTTAAAGTTTGTATCGCGCGGCGGAGATATTGGGCGCTCAATTTTGATGCTTTCTATATATTTGCTATTGAATTTTCGAAATCTCCGGCGCGCAATTTCCAAACTTTCCAGTCAGGTAATATTTTGGTCTTTTGGATCTACATAATTTAAACTTAAAGCCAGACATGGCCTGCTTCTTTCGAGTCTACATGCATAGGTTCATTGAGACAAAATGTATTACCAAAAGCTGAAAAGGAGGAACTTAATTTCCTGATATCGTGTGGAGGTAACTTCAACTTGGCACAATAACATATATTATTATTCCAGTTCGCCGCCTTAATACTGCACACTGTCGCTGGTATGTAGATTAGTAGATATGACTAAAACGTTATTACTATACATGGTTGTAGACACAGGTCATTAGCTACTCGCTTGGTAATCATGCGAAATACCTCTCCTCTCACGAGGCATTATTGTACTATACAGATGTTATAATGCGTCTAGTTTCGAGGCGAAGAATATTCTTGCCTTCCCTAAAAATTTGTAAATAATGTATGTTGTTAAATGTTATATTTTGGGCGAAAATTAAAAATTAAAAAAAAATTCACGATTGCTGCACCTTTGGACGCTGTAATCACATAGCATTTATGCACCGGAAATAGGCTTAATTTATTGCATCAAATGAGGTGTTGACAGCAAATTCGCACTGATAATAAACACCTATCCACTCTACTGTATTCACCAGATTAAAGTGCATATCAACCATTTTTTTTTTTACTTTTTATTCGAAAAGTATAGTTAAAAACAAATATAAATTCGATTTTTTTTTTGAAAAAATTTTTTCCCCCATGATTTTAATGCCAAATTGTTACAAAATTATAATGTTGGCCGAGTATGCCTGCCCATTTGTAGCAATATTCAATATAAAATTATTCATTCAATTTAATCTATTATACATTTAATAAAGTTATATTCTTTCAGTATAATCTTTTATACACATTCAATTCAATATAAAATATTCATTCAATTTAATCTATTATACATTTAATAAAGTTATATTCTTTCAGTTTAAAATCTTTTATACACATTCAATTCAATATAAAATATTCATTCAATTTAATCTATTATACATTTAATAAAGTTATATTCTTTCAGTTTAAAATCTTTTATACACATTCACTTCAATATAATATGTTCATTCAATTTAATCACTTGTGTATATATGTATTTAATTTAATCCTGTAACAATATGCATTCAATAAAAATATTCATTCAATGTTTAAAAAATCCATTGAATATTTGAGGACTAGGCCGAGTGCTCGGTTAGCTAAAAGTAATATGGCCGCCGTAGCTGAGACTGCACTTGAAGAAAACGAAGTAAACGAAGATCCCCACCAGGTTGGTTTTAGTTGCCATGAGTTCCTTTTGGAAGTCTTAACTAGAACGGAAGAATTTGTGGGCGAAACACATGCAAATGAAAATGAGAGGCGAAATGTTAACGAGCACATTTTGACACATTTAAACTTGTTAGATACAACTGTCAAATGGTTAGGGCAGTTGATGCGTATTGTTGATGACCAGGATAAGCGTTTGTTTCAGGATTTGCAGTCCGTTTTTCTTAAACTTTTTGAAAGACTCTGGAGATATCAACTAAGGTTACAATCGACATATCCCTCAGCTTTTCCCGTTTTAATTGCTCAAACTGGAGGACCGTGGAGGCCACCTTATGTCATTCCACTTGAGTTTTTGGAGGAGCTGAGAGGACTGGGGTTCACCTGGACAAAAATTGCTGCTATGTTTAAAGTATCGCGTTGGACAGTAATGCGTCGTGTTAGAGAATACGGCTTACAAAACTTAGCAAAGTTTAGTAACGTTAATGACCAAGAAGTTGATGAAATAATTAATGCTTACCCATCAAGACATGGATCAACTACAGGTGAAGTTTATTTAAGAGGTCATTTCGGGCTCTTGGGTACAACATTCAACGGAAGCGAATAAGAGAAAGTCTGAATAGGGTTGACCCCAGAAATACAGCTTTACGGTGGGGTGCACTTGTGTCTCGCCGAAAGTACTTTGTGCCCTGGCCAAACTCGTTGTGGCACATGGACGGTCACCACTCTCTCATCCGATGGGGATTTGTTATCCATGGATGTATTGACCAGTGGTGCCTAAATTACTTTGATTTTATACTTGAGTAAAAGTAGAAGTAATTCGCATTAAAACGACTTGAGTAAATGTAAAAAGTACTGGAGAGAATACGTACTTGAGTAAAAAGTACAAAGTATTTTTCAAAAATACTTAAGTACAAGTAAAAAGTACAAGTACTGTATAGAGTATATCGAGGAATGATACTCTGGATTAGACTAATAGACCACCAACAATACGATAGTTACATACCGCAATTTTACCTTCAGGCCTCTTGGGATTTTCAATTTTTTATTAAATTTTAATTAAGCACTACTGGGGCTATCCTACCGCACATTGGGCTATTCCAATTTCTATCCGCACCCTCCGGTGAGGAACATATTTAGATATTTTACATGATTATTTGTATAGAAATGTATTTGTCAACTGCACTACACTACATCCGATGAATTCCCGGGTGGCAATTTCAAGTTTTTAGAACCCTACCATTACCAAACAGACAAAGGCATAAAACAGCTTACCTGTACATGTTTTCTTAGGTTTGAAGGCGACGAAATGAACGCAGATATCTCTCTAACAAGTGGCGAGCAAAGGCAACATATGAATTTGATGCTCTTGTTCTCTCTTCCCACTCTTCCATTGTAGCGAAACATTGACTTCAAATATGGCCAAGGATGTTCCTCCTCTTCTCCTTTTTTACCGATAGTACTAAAACCTTCTAGTCCTTGTCCTTCGTTCAAGACTTCGTCTGCAATATGCAAATCACTGTCGGCCATGGCTGCCCAAGCAATTCGGGTAGAGTTCAATGATTGGGCCAGTGAATTCGGCGCAATAATTTGGCGCGAAACGCGTGTATTGTCGCATGTGTTCAGCGGAATATATTAATTGTCTGTACTTCGTGTAAATAACTATAAATTTGATTGCGATTGGAGTCGAGTTTAAAAATCGAAATTCATTTTAGAAATCACCGAATCAGGTAAAAGATAGAACTAAAATTTGATAATACCATAAAAGTAACGGAATACTTCACCGCAAAATAAAAAAACGAAGTAAAACGTTACTTTTTGAATTTACTTCGTTCCAAGTAGAAGTACTCTGTCAAAAATTTACTTCGTTACTTGCTCACTTCTCAAAATTAGTACTCAAGTAAAGTAACGAAGTACATTTACTTCGTTACTTGTCACCACTGGTATTGACGGATATTCAAGGAGAATTAACTTCCTCCACTGCAGCACAAATAACCTTGCAACAACAGTTTTGTCCTTGTTCGAAGATGCAATTCAACGTGACGGTGGCTTGTGGCCTTCACGGTTAAGAGTAGATTATGGAGTTGAAAACGTCGCAGTGTGTGATGCAATGGTTGCTATGCGTGGAGAGGGAAGGGGAAGTTTCATTGCAGGTTCATCATGTAGAAATCAGCGGATTGAAAGGTTGTGGCGAGACGTTTTCCGATGCGTCTCCCACATTTTTTACTATACATTCTATGCGATGGAGCAAACGGGCCTTCTTGACTTAGACAACCCAATCCACATGTTTGTGTTACATTGGGTGTTTTTACAAAGAATAAATTATGCTTTGCATGAGTGGATGGACAGTTTTAATAACCACCCACTTTCAACTGAGCACAACTGGACACCAAACCAACTTTGGATTAATGGCATGCTAAGAGAAGACAATCCACTAGCTATTGGGGGGCTTGATGATGACCCTCATGATACAAGGTTTTATGGGGAAGACCTAGATGGACCAACACCTTTCGAGGACAGTGATAACTGTGTCATAGTTTCAAAAGTTCATATACCAGGAATTAATTCAGAAGAACTAGTGTTTCAATTAACACAATCTATTGATGCTTTGAAGCTTTCATCGTGTTTTGGAATTGACATTTTCATTGAGGTCCTACAATTTGTAGTACAGCTAATAGAGCACGAGCAAAGTAGATAAAATACAATATTCTTTTTTCCATTAAAGTTCAACACTTTAATTTCAAACTTGATCGGTTTTCAAATGTCAAATTAAGCTATGCAATAATGGTATAACATGATCAGGGGAGAGGGTAATGGTAGATGCTCTTAAAAGCTACATTCAAAGTACAGCTGTATATTATGAAAGTCACCGAACTGTGGAATCGCATCAAAAATTCAAAATTTACCAAGAACCTGATTGGCTGTTCAAAATTAGAATTGTAAACATGCAAAAATATGTACGCGCGGTCGTAGACGTTTGTGGGAATGGTTGATATACGAATTTTTTATGCGATTCCACAGTTCAGTGACTTTCGTAATACCCTGACTATTATACTCCCAAGCTAGTGTCAACAAAGCATCCCCACCCCCTGTACTATATACACCATTATCGATGCTTGTTGTGAAGTAAACCTTGATGTAGCAATGTGCTACAACATAGTTTGTATTTCACTACATAAAACAAAACAATTAACAAAACTGTTAACTTTAAAACAACCTTTAACATCTAATGTTTGATGTTCAATCTAAATTACCCAATCAATCTGAATTAATGTACTCAAGTCAGCATTATGATTGTGGACTTGTGGTCAATAACTACCAAAGTGCAAAATGTCATTTAAACTACCGTCTTCCAAAATAGCCACTGAGAAATGCAAAGTCATAAAGTTCAAAAAGTGCATCTTCGGAAGGTATCTGGAGATGATGTGTTCCTCTTGGCAGTTTTAAGATGTTGGTGCATGTGTGAGACTTGGGAAGAAAATCTCCAAATATTCTCCTCTTTAGCCCTGGCTCATCATTGTCCTTTTCTCCTTCCCCAACATTCTGCAAAATAGTTTTTATAACCTTTGAATCGTCTAAATACCCTGTTGGAGTGAGTAAGCGTGATGTGTGCAATAGACCTTTTTCATAATGACGTAATCCATGTTTGAACATGGAAAGCCATGTTTGAACATGGAAAGGCACTTAATCCCAAAACACTTAGCCCCATGTCCCAACATGTAGAATATTAGAGTATCATTAGCTAGTATACTGTATAATGGTTAAGTAATTACGCATGACTAATTACCATAACTAGGTAAGGTTTTGTACACTTTCGACACTGGATCAAATATAATATGCGACAACTTTTAGCGAGGGACAATTTTTAGCAAATTAAATTTGTGCGGCTCCGCAATGACTTGCATTTAACAAATTGCCACAAAAATTGTCCCATGAGACACCTCAAAAGTTGTTTTTCTGTGTGTGAGGTCATTATGAGAAAGGTCTTTTTGTGAAAGACCAGGCCCACTATAATTAGTCATTTTTATTAAAAATGCTAGATGCGCAACCAGGATTCATAATAAAGTTTCTGAAACGTTCTCTGATCGTAAATATCAGAGAACGTTTCAGAAACTTTATTTAGTCATTTTTAATCATTTAACCATTAATCAAACATGCATACATATCGTTCACATATGTAAACCTTTAAAAAATATATTACTACCTGTATGGCATTTATGACATCACATACAATTTGATGATAATAATAAAGTACAAAATTGAGACTCAGTTGCTTTAGATTCTAGTTCTAAACATTAATGTCGGTTTGAATGGCAAAATAAATGATATAAACCATCAAATGAATTTTAGAACCAGAATACATGCAAATCAACAAATACGAAATTTTCTCTGTAGTACTCTACTAATAGTGATTGCCAATGTGTTAGTTTCTGTTTTGCAAGTTTGATACATATCCAAAAATACAAGGGTATTACTGTATCAGCATCAGGAAAAAATTTACCTGATTTTGGGTTAAAAGTCATATCTGATTTTGAGGTGCCCTTTCATCGCTGTTATAGCTAGGCTCTCTGGATGCACAAGTGGCTTCAACAAATTCAATGGATGGGGAAAGAGCAAAACCAAGAAGGGGCTCTTCACTTGCACAAGTAGCAAACTCCAGGATATTCTCCAGCTTTGTTACTCTACGACCACTAGCTACTTCTCTAACATATTTGACAAAATGAGCATAAGCACTCTTCTCGTACTTTTGGCTGTTTGATCCTTTTTCAGAAAATTTTGGTATCAGAAGGTATAGTAACCTTTTTACAGACAACTTAGCATTTTCAGATGGTCTAAAGAGATGCAGGAATTGTGGGAACTTTCTACCAACTGTATGGATTCCAAGAGTATCCAGACCTTTCTGTAGGTTGGAAATGCATGGGTGTGTGCTTGGGTACGGACCTGTAAAAACATTTTGCAAAACTGTTTCTGGAATGTAAACAGGTAACTGTCCATTCTGAAGAAGTGCTATTGCTGCCATTTGGCCAATGTAAAAATAGTCACTTGCCAGATGCTCCTTAAGACCTTGTTCAAAATATTTCGGTTGTATTTTCTGATTGCAAAGCCTAATCCATTCCTTTCCGGGGCCTCCCCTGTCTTCAGCTTGCTCGCCATAGAACTGAACTTCAAAAGTGATTCTTGGATCTTTCACATCATTCAATTCAGAAAATGTTGTTTCCAAAATATTATCACGATCTACTGAAATATAATTAGTGTCCCTACTAAGTTCAGAAGATACATCACTAACATCTAGGTCACGACCTAACAAAATCTTCTTCTACAAGAATCTTAACATTTCTGTTGGGTCCCTAACAGCGGATGGTATTTCGTCAATTACTGTTGAAAAAAATGGAGACAGTTCAATCTCTGGAACTGCTGGTCCAAATTCCTGGACACCTTGTGGGGATAGTGTAAATTGCTCTAACAGAC